GCACACACACACACACACACACACACACACACACACACACACACACACACACACACACACACACACACACACACACACACACACGCACACACACGCATAAAAACACACACACACACATAAACACACACATACACACATACACACACACACACACATTCACTCAGTTACAAACATGCACACACGCACAAACAAGCACAGACATAATAACACATCTATATTGTGCCCCCACACCACTCAGGTGGCCTACTTGAACTCGTACACCATGGAGGACTGCAAGAACCTCTTTGGGCCCTATGGCGACCTGCTGTTCATGGGAGACGTCCTGCCAGAGCCGCTGCGCACCCTGTGGCGCCTGCTGCGCACTGCCGCGCGGCACTACATCTTCATCGGCAATCCCGAGGAGACGTTCACAACCCGCGCCCGCCAGGACGCCCGCAGGGCGCTGCGCCAGTTTGCCATCATGATCGAGCGCGACGACCGCCTTCCCCGCAGCTTGCTGTCCTACACACTGCACATGATGCTCTGCAGGTGGGCGGTCTGGTGCGCCCTGCTACTGGCTTTAGCACGCGGGCATGGATGGATGGGTGTGGCAACCCAACAACGGTGACACCTGCATGCCAGGAGCTTGCCCCCAAGCACACGGTTCCAGTCAAACCGCTCTCCGCAGCCTGCAGCACAGATATTCAGACACCCTTTTGAATTGGCATCACCTTGCTGACGTCACGGCGTCCGCCACAAACACTGCTGATGCTGCACCCACTCCTCTGAAACGCACGACAGGCTTTATGATCAGGAGGATGCGCGCGGGATGGTGGGCCTGGACGGCGAGTGGTGGATTGAGCGCGGCGTGGCGCTGTTCAAGGACCTGATTGCTGGGCGCCAAATCGTCAGGGGGGTCGAGAAGGTGGCAGCCCACAGCCTCCTGCTGCGAGACGCGCTTGCCGAACAGCTGCTGCAGCACCCAGAGCTCGCCGCGTGCCAACAGCCAGCACAGGCGGTGGCGACGGCTGAGGCAGCCGCGTCCGCCAGCGGCCGCACGGCGGGGGCCGCAGCCGCCGCCAGCTCGGCTGCTGCGGGCAGCGGCATCCGCGGGCGGCGCGCGAGGCGCAGCGCCGCCCCCGACAGCTTCGCGCCCGGCAGGGGCGGCTGCCGCATGCTGGACGCTGGCCACCAGGTGCGCCGCGAGGCGCAGCGCGATGAGGCCCGCAGCGTGCTGACGACGTTCTTCACGGCCATGGCGGGGTCTGACGTGGACGGCTGGACGCTGCCAGCCGCCATCGAGGCTGTGAACAGTGGGCGCCTGCGGGTGTTCAAGCGCGCTCACATGCCGCACGACGGCGGTGACGTCACCTCTAGCGAGTACCGCCGCAGCCGCTCGCGTGTGTCATGCTTTGTGCGGCAGACATGGGAGGACTCGGGCTCGTTGCCGTACATCTGCGATGTCGTGCGGCTGGTGCTCCTGGAGCCGCCAACGGCCACAGCAGGTGCAGCCGCGCCCAACCCGCTGACAAGCACACACAGCGGCGCCGCAGTGGCCGCAGTGGCTGCAGCGGCGGCGGGCAGAAGCCGGGAGCTCAGCGGCAGCAACGGCGGCAGCGGCGGCGGCATAAACAGCGGCCGGGGCGGCGGCGGCGCGGGCGCGGGCGCGGGCGCGGGCGCGGGCGCAGGCATGGGCGGTGGCGGCGTCGGCGGCGGTGGCGGCAGGGGCGGGGGCGGCGGCGTCAACAGCGGCCGGGGCGGCGG